GCCCATACCCCCTCGCCCCACCAAAAAACACCGCCCCAAAAACCCGCGTCCCCCAAAACCCACACCCCCCCCCCCCCCCCTCCCATAATAGAACACCACCTGGGCTTCTATTTTGTCTCTCAAGTCAAGTTCTAAAGGATGGTCTTCTATTGCGGTCATATTTTGTCACCTGCTAGTAGTCCAACGGTAACCCCACGTAGTTTAAGTTGAACTATTCTATTATAATGCTTAGACATATTTAGGATTATGTGCAAAATTTCTCACTTACAAGTCTTGTGCGTCGTTGTATTTTTAAATTTCTTTCAGATCAAAGGTATAAGATTTTTTATATGAATTTTGAACTCTCACGTGAACAGTTTCGAACAATGATTTTATATGACTGAAAAATTGGCTTAACGTACAAAGAAAGTCATGTCCGTTTAGTGCAAGCATGGGGAGACCAAGCACCTTCTGATCGTACAATTCTCAATTGGTATCATGAATTTCAAAGCAGCTATTTCAGTGTTGAAGATGCTGTCCGTTCAGGTCGTCCTCGAACTGCTGTCAACGAAGAAACAATTGATGCTGTCACAGCAATAATTGAAGATGATCCTCACTCAACATACGAACCGATTGAAGACACCCTGGGCATTACTTCGCCATCGATCAATTCAGTTATTCATGATTATTTGAAGTTGCACAAAGTTTGTGCTCGATGGGTGCCTCATCAACTCACCGATGACCAAAAACAGTTCCGTATTCAATTTTGTCGTGATTCACTGGAAAGATTTGAAGGAGGCGTGTATTCTAAATTATAACAGGTGACGAATCATGGTTCTATCATAATGATTCAACAACAAAAGAACAATCAAAAGTTTGGGTGTCACAAACTGATCCTTGACCAACCAAAGTTCATCGATACAAAAGTGCAGGCAAGCGAATGGTGGCGATTTCCTTCATGAAATCCGGTTAAATCAAGTCAATACCATTAGAACGTGGTGGAGCGGTAACTGCAAGATGGTATATCAATAGCTGCCTGCCACAAGTCTTCGAAACAGTATCGGAATGGAGACAAAAGACCGGTCTTCGAGGTCTCATTTTGCGTGACAATAACGCAAGGCCGCATAGAACTGGAATTGTTAGCGAATTTTTGGCCGAAAATCGTGTCGAACCATATCCAAATTCACCATATTCACCAGATCTAAGTCCGTGTGACTTCTTTTTGTTTTCAAAACACAAAAATCAATTACGGGGAATTCAGTTCAACGACGACAATGCAATGTTGAATGAGTTAGAACAAGCCATTGACAGTCTCACAAAAGATGATTTCAAAAATTGCTTCGACGACTGGTTTATTCGAATGCACAAGTGCATTGATGCTGATGGGCAGTACTTCGAAAAACTACACTATAACCAGTCTTGGAATACTAAAGGGCTGGCGAAAAAACCTTTTTAGCGTCCCTTGTAGACTTTCAAGTATAAATATATGTAGCAAGTTTATAGAGAAGACCTTTGTGCCAGACCTGGTCAAAGGCTTTTTCTGCGATCGAAAGAAAACAGCTTGGACATTGCGAGAAGACTCATAACCTTCATAAACAGAATGAACTGATTTTACTAATTGATGGACTGTTGGGTGTCTTTTTCTAAGTTCACTTTGAGAAACAGAGAATAGTTTATTTTCTGATACATAATTATAAAGTTTATTATAAATAACGTTCTCTAAACGTTTCGACAAGGCGTATGAATACAAATCTCATGACAAAATGGCATAATGATGTGCCAAAATCATCCAAGATTGCTGCTCTCAGTTTAATCTTCATTCGATGATTTTCATTTTTTTTCATTTTTCTCACTAAACTATCATACCGATATAAGATATAAATTAGACTATAAAATTTGTCCTTATCTCATTTAATGTTGAAATACCAAAACTTTTCTACACATAGAATATGTGAATGTTGATGTTTTGTGTTCTTTCATGCGTGCTGCTGTTCTTTCTGTATATCTTACTCATTCCTTATTCCATGTTCGTCATTATCTTGTACAAGAAGAAAGAATGTATCTTCGAGAGTT